TCGCACAAACTAGAAGATCTTCAAGTCAAAACCAACAAGTTGGCAGAACAGGTAGGGAAGCCAACGAAGACGCCAATTCCTTCTCGTGGACGCAGAGAAGACACAGGTGATGAAGATACCACCTAACCAACAACAACAACAACAACAACAAGCACCAATCACCATCAACGGGAAAAATCTTAACGAAGTTGTCTCTTTCCTTTCACCTACTCTCACCTACCTACCTAGGAGGCAGCATACTTTCAACTACAGACACCACACACACACACACACGCACACACACACACACACAGATGACAATCTCAAAGTCAGACACGATCGCAAACACAGCAACACAGAACTTCCTTCATTAATCTCAAATCAATGTGGAGTTCTACTCCACTCAGTATGTCGAACAACATGTGCATTTTAAACACCAAGTCAGTCAGTACTTCTATGACATGGTTCACAGATATCGCACATTACGAAAAGCATTCACAACAAACTACAGACATCACACATCAACACCTGCCGTCTACACTCACTCCACACTCAAGATGGAGATCACATCATCACAAAGAATAAGCAACAACCAACTCTGGTCTCACAATGAACCAACCAACTAACCAACAACCTGTCACCCAACAAATATGCAAAACAAAGTGGAGATGGATTGGACATACACTGAGAAGCCCGTTTGGGCACATCAAGTGCCATGTCAGGCCCTCCAGTGGAACCCAAAGGGGAAACGACGAGTTAGTTGGGTGTCCGAGGGTGACATGGAGCAGATGGTGTGAAGAAGAAATTAAAGCTCATGGGCAGTCATAGACGCAGGTTCAAAAGACTGAAGAGAAGAGAGTGAAGTGGCGACGTGCTCCTGAAGCCCTACGTTCCACTAGGAACCCAAGGGACACCAACCCACCGCCACTCCCGATCTTCTACTCTTAGAAATTTCCTCAACTATACCCTTGCTTGTCCTTGTTTGACTATAGTCATTATATCACTACTGATAGGACATGTGGCATCTATCCTCCAAAATTTGAAACAAGACTGAAGTCGTTGATTGCATTCATAACTAATCAGCACACCAAGTATTCCATAGAAATTATTGAACTATGTGTATGAGTAACTTATCGACTAGAGAACACGGTGAAATTATAGCCTAGGAGTCACTGGTTTGAATCCCTCCGACGGCTCGTATTTTGATTTCAACTTCAATTACCACAAATCTCCCAGACCACGGCTATCTCAGATAGGTCAAACTCATGATCATCATATGAATGAATCATTCTTCTTAAAATATTTATTTACCTACATAACGTTGTAGTAAACCTGTTTCTCTTTTACCTAAAATACAATAAATCAAGTACACAACATGAGTATTCACATGTATATATAAGCCCTCAGGATTTACCACACCATGTGAATGTGACTTCCAGATAGTCATGTGAATTTTTTATTAAAAAAAAGGTGAATAGCCTAAAGGAAAACCACATTCATATTGTATGTTAGGCTGAGTAGACATTTTTCAATAGGGGAAACAAAGAAATTCAATGAAGTAACTAGTAACGGCGAGAAAAGAAACAACACAACATGCTTCAATACTTCAAGGTTACATAGCCTCTGTTGAACAACTTTCCGGATACAAGATGTACAACATTAGTTTAGAGGCAACTAATTTTAAATCGGACAGTTACAGGGTTCAGAAGTTGTCACACTTAAGAAGCGGTTTAAATAGAAATCAACATTTTAAGTCATCAGTCGCTAAGATGAAAGTTTTTTATGTCTTAATTTTTGTTACATGTTACTGTGTAGTCAGGAAAAACTTTATTGGACAGTTATATCCTATGATTGACCAATCAAAATAAGTTATTCAACTTTTGACCTGGTGATTTTATATGTTGATGAAAATTGTATGTAAATGATCCATTTTCCTCGAAAAAATGTTTTTCTTACAGGCATAGTTCAGTCTTTGTCTGAATATATTTTTGTAGATCAGTGAAGTATGAGATACTGAAGGAGAACAGTTACTATTCGCATCCAGTTGAAGTGTCTAATCGCGTCAATATCGTTGGCATATCTGTTGTTATTCGCACAGTCACTTTTATATGTACATATAAACCCTGTATCAAACAACATCAGTGTGTAGTGCATAATATTTTACAAACACTGTATACCCCTAATTTTACACGGCTTTGGCCTGCTACTTTACCCATGACCTCAAAATAACCTATAGGGGGCTGTTTTTCACACCACTGCTGGGTTTTCTCCCCCCTCATCTCAAGGCTTAATTCTTATTGGCTGTTAACTATATGTTGATTTAGTGTTTCCAAGGTCACTTGGAAATGTATATATACATCATCACAGTCAACAGTATTCATTGTTGTTGACCCTCTGATTCGCATAAGAGTCGATTCGTTTACGTATTAGGTTCGTATAGCTTGTAAACTGTTAAGTTGTACTACTGGTCATAGTAATTACAAGAATTTTAGATTCCTTGAACATAAAAATTGACAATCCGTAGGAAGACAGAGACAGACAGATATAATAAAAGTAGAAGTATGTACGGAGATGTATCCGTTCAACTTGCCATATTTCACCGTGGTAGTATACAAAAAGAACAAGTGAATAGAAGAAAGTGACATCAAAGTAGACAAAGTTGTAGGAGAGAATAAACAATTTGAAGATAAAGGTGAATGCAAGTATTCAAACTTTACAAGACGTCAAAGTATGAATACATCTGTGCGGTTGTGACCGATTCTCAATCATGTCACCAAGTCCTCAAATACTGATTCTTATCGTCTCAGGGACTGCAACCAGGCAGTCTGCATCTTCCCACAAGGTTCACAGAGACAGTGAGGAACTTCATCGACTTGTGCTACATCTTGTTCTGGTTACTCTGAACCCTCTTCAAACCGAATCCAACTTCCCCTAGCATGACACGTCGAAGTAGATAGTGGCTCAGCATACGCAGCTCATCCCAAGAACCCTTCTCTTGACTTCAACATTACTCACACAATGATCCCATCAATCGGGACCAATGTTACGAAGGACACATGATTAAAAAACCCTATGACGGTCAGGTCTCAGACGTATAGCAGGACAAAACAAATATGAGCACAGTATACTCATCCACTTTCTTAAGTAAATCTCATCATCATCAATATCAACAAAGAGTCAGACATTAGTGCGTGACGGTCCAAGTTGCCACATCTCATATCAGTACATCAAGTAAAAAGGCAGTAAAGTGGAATATGAAGAAAAGAAAATTCAGTCAAGTGAGATATGAAGTACTCAAAGAGAGAAAGGAAGAATGACAAAATGGTGAGATTCGGTATCACATTAAGATCAGGATGATGTGTATGGGGGTACATCTGCACCATCGACTTCGGTTCTCAGTCATATCACCTAGAGTCAGTCTCCAACCACTTGTTTCTCTTGTCTCACCTACCTCAGCTGGCTAATCTGCGTCGCCACACATGGCTCATACCAACAGTCAAACACTTCATACATTGATGCTGTTTTATTCTAGCCGAGAGCCAACAGCCTTTCTCTAGTCTGAACCTACTGCTTCGGTCAACATTGTGTGACGAGGCAGACAGCCACTACGCATACGTAACACATGTTCCTGTTAGCCAACCAACCAACCAACCAACCAACCAACCAGCCAGCCAGCCAGCCAGCCAGCCATCTCAGTCGATGAAGGTTGACGACCACGTCAACTGACTTACTTCTCCTTCCTCCCTGAAGCTCTACAACTGACTTCTGCGTTACTCACGTGGTGTGGTGACACCAAGGAATACGGCCTATACTACGAAGGCAACGGTGGTAAAACACCTGAAACATTCTCATGTCTTCCACCTTGAATGGCCATGTTTCACAGCCATACAGTAGAACAGACCGGACTGCTATACAGTACGCTGTTTGGGATGCGGTTCTCACCACCCAATTGCAAATTTTTGCTCCACGATTGGTCTTCAACGGTGCCGCGGGTAACAACAAAGAGTACAGTGGTTGAGTGTATTGACCATTGCACTTACCTGAGAAGTAAGATCAGCCCTGCACTAGTGACTTAGTTGCAGATGAAATCTCTGCACAAATACAAAAGGCTCAACTGGCTTTTGCCAATTTACACCACCTATGACACCGCCACCATGATATCCGTTTCTCTACTAACGGTCGCATGTACTACACAGCAGTCCGCTCTGTTCTCCTACATGGCTGTGAAACATGGCCATTCAACGTGGAAGACATGAGAAGGCTTCAAGTGTTTCACCACCGTTGCCTTCGCAGTATAAAACGTATTCCGTGGTGTCACCGTGTGAGTAACCCAGAAGTCAGGAGTAGAGGTAAATCTGTTGACGAGGTTATACACCTTCATCGATTGAGATGGTTGCGACACGTACTATGTATGCCTAGTCACCGATTGCCTCGTCAAACAATGTTGACCGAAGTAGGTCAAAAACTGGAAAAACGCCAGAGGTGGACAGACTAAAACATGACACCAATGTATCAAGTCTCTGACTGTTGGTTTGAACCATGTAACAGGGGATGCAGACTAGATGGTTGGGGTCAGCAGGACAAAAGGAACCAGTGGTTGGAGACTCTAGGGGATATGGCTCACAACCAATGTCAGTGGGGCAGATGTATACACACACATTATCCTCATCTTAACGATGCTATACCGATTCCAACCATTTTGTCATTCCTCTTTTCTTTCTTCTCGTACTTAATATCCCTTTTGACTGCATTCTCTTATCTTCATCCTTCACCTCACTACTTTTCTACTTGATGAACTGACGTGAGGTTTGGCAACTCGGACCGTTACGCAGTAATGTCTGGTCCTATGTTGATACTGATTGATTGACACTCGACCCTCAATAGACAGTCGGATATGACAGCAGCGCCACAACTGGCGTAAGTTGGCGAAAGTCAGTTAATTAAATCTCTCATATTCAACACATTATTACAATTTATCAATTTATTCGAAACAATCTTGATGGGTAGACAGAAATGCTTACCTATTTGTACAGTATAATGAGTAGCACCAAAAATCAACTCCGGTGCTCGATAATATCGAGAACAGATATACGAGACATTCGCTTCTTCAGGATTCAATATTTTTGCACTAAATTATCAATAATATATTTAAAGAGTTTACAAAAATCATTTAGAAACAAATAAATATAAACTACATATCTTATGTTAGTTACAAAATTGATCACGCTTTAGTGTTTGAAATGATGGGTAACGCGGTTCAAATTTCACTCACTGAAGATCCAGATACATCCATCTGATAAGTCTATGACAAGACGAAACGCGCATCTTTGATTCCACTTAAAAAAGTACACCTAACCAGACAGTCAATAAGAGCATATAACCAGGTATAGTTGTATTTTCATTCAAGCTACAACACTTCACACACGTACGCACACACACACATCAAAGTGAGAGTTAATAGGTGAATGGATACTGAGACGAGAAACAATGATATCCACAGTTATGGAGAGCCATCAAAGATAGAGGTGGCGTTTCCAAATTAAAAGAAAACTGAAGTGAGTGAATTTGCCCCATACTATCATAGACTGTAGGCGATAACAACTAGTCTCGAACCATTGTCTCATGGGGTCACAACCAGGATACATATAGCTTCTTACATGGTTAAAGAAAAATCGAAGACTGTATGGATGGCTAAAATTAAATCAGTTATGTAATGGATTAAGTATTAGGCTTCTAGTTACTCCTAATGCAAAGTGGTGGTATCTACTTGTCGTAAAATGTTCCTAATCCATTCCATTCCAGTTGACTAACCAATCTACTTGAAAGCTAAGTCCAACAATATGACCTAAATAGACTAACAACACCATCTCTTGCCCAAATGCTAAGAAACACAGCCTCTTAGGTAGTAGATGTTTACTTAATTCTTTGTTTTTCAGTAACCCTAAGTGTGTATTCAGGTAATAGGCTAATATGTGACGGCTGAAGAAACTACCTATCTGTCCAAACATCGATAGATGGAGCATAATTTCAACCCGTGATCCATTCGTTGAACTTTAGATTTTCATAAAAGTCCAAAATTCAAATGAAGTAACCACATAGATTAGGCGTGAATTTTGTTTTACTAAATGGTTATTAAATATGACTGAGGTCAGAGTAATATTTAGGAAGTTCACATTATTATATTATTATTACTCCCTTGAGTTCCTAGTGGAACATAGGGCTTCAGTAGCACGTCTCCAGTGACCTCTGTTCTCTGAGATCTTTTCAACCTGGCTCCCCGACAGCTAACAACCTCTCATTTCCTCCTCGCACGATGTCCTCCATGTCACCCTCACCTCGGACACCCAACTCGTCGCTTCCCATGGGGATTCCACTCGAGGGACTGGCCTGATACGTGATGTCCCCAGTCGGCCTTCCCAGTGTGTGCCCAATCCATCTCCACTTCCTTCCAGTGCATATTTGTTGACTGATAGGTTCTTGGTTGGTTCGTTCCCAGAGCTCCTTGTTGCTTATTCTTTCTGGCAATCCATCTGATCTTCAGTAGCGAGCCAGTGTAGGCGGCAGTTGTTGATGAATGTCTGTAGTTTATTGGAAATCCCTTTCGTGACGCGCCAAGTCTCTGCACCATACATAAGCACTGATTTGACTGAATTGGTGTTGAAAATCCGGATGTTGTTCCACATGCTGAGTGGAGTGCAGAAGATCTCCACACTGGTTTTAGGCTAATGAACGCCTGTCTTGCTGTTTTTCCGATTCTGACTTTGACATCCTCATCTGTGCCACCTGTAGTTGAAACAGTGCTTCCTAGATAGGTGAAGGAGGTTACTTCCTTTAAGTTTCTCCCGTTCATGGTGACTGGGGTTTGTTGTTGTTGTTGTTGGTGGTGGTGGTGGTGCGGTATCTTCATCACCTCTGTCTTCTCTACCTTCACCTAAAGTCCCGTCTTCGCTGCCTCGCCTCTTCTGTCAACTTGTTAGTTTTTGCCTGTAGATCTTCAAGTTTATGTGACATCAGGCACAAGTCATCGGCGAAATCCAAGTCTTCTAGGTTCTTTTCCGCAGACTAGCCAGCGTATCCCCCTCTTCTCGCTGCCCACTGTTTGCTGCATGATCCAGTCCACCACAATCAGGAATATCATGGGGGATAGTAGGCGAGAACCTTGTTTCACTCCTGTCTTCACTTCAAAGGCATCACTGAGCTGCTTCCTATTGTGAATTACTTGGCATGTGGTGTCTTCATATAGTTGTTGAATGAGGCGGATAAAGGTTTGAGATACTCCGTAGTAATGAAGCAGTTTCCAAATTACCTGTCGGTCGACGCTGTCAAAGGCCTTCTCAAAGTCGATCAAGTTGAGGTAGAGAGCTGATTGCCATTCTATGCTCTGTTCTATGATGATACGAAGGGTTGCAATTTGGTCTGTACATGATTTGTACTTCCTGAAGCCTGCCTGTTCCGGTCGTAGTTTTGAATCCAGTGCATCCTCCAGGATGATACGGCTTAATATTTTTCTTGGTGTGGACAGGAGAGTGATTCCTCGCCAGTTCTTGCAAACACTGAGGTCTCCCTTCTTCGGTAGTTTGAAAAGGTAACCCTTCTTCCAATCGCCAGGTACCTTCTCTTCCTTCCACACCTTCTGCAATAGTGGTGTGAGCATGTCTGCTGTTGTCTCTGCGTCTGTTCTCAGTGCTTCTGGCGGTATCCCGTCTGGTCCTGCTGCTTTCCCACATAGGAATCGAAATTTCCAGATGTCTTGGTTACTTACATTCACTGACCGTTTTGTGTAAAAAATTAAATGAGCGACATCGGGATATACATTGTAGAATTTTATACTAACAAACTGAAACGGTTAGTATGGCTGTTATGCGGCATTAAGTCAAGTTGGTAATATGCAGTCTGTATACACTTCTGCACTTCAATGTGTGAAGTAATCTAGTGTATGCAAGATGGCTGGAGATCTACTCACTCCAGACTGAAGATAGAGATCAGATCAGGTCAGAAAGAATAAGCAACTAGCAACTCTGATCTGCCAACGAACCAACCAACAATCTGTCACCTAACAAATATGCACATGGATTGCACATACATACACTGAGAAGACACATCACACATCAGGCCACGCCCGCGACTGGAACCCTAAAGGAGAAACGACGACTTAGTTAGGTGTCTAAGGGTAACATGGAGGAGATCGTGTGAAGAAGAAATTAAAGCTCATGGGCAGTCGTGGAGCTAGATTAGAAAGACTGTAGAGAACAGAATGAATTGGTGACGTGCTCCTTAAGCCCAATGTTGCACTAAAACCCAAGGCACAAATAATAATAATAACAATAGTAATAATATGAGGCCATTGATTACTAATCTGAATCACATGGATGACCATGTATTTAGTGTCTGCATTCAACAGACAGACTGATTGTTAGAGACCTGATGTATAATAGGATATGCTATAATTCATCCTTCATTTTGTTTGTCACACTGAAGACTATTCTAGACTGTTCTATCTGATCTTTGTTGATGTTTTTTGCTCCACTGTTCTACTATTTTCACAAAACGGAGTTTTTTCTTCACATACAAAGTCTAACCAATCTTTCGGTCAGTTAGTCGATCACCGACCACTTCACTAGTAGTCTGGTAGAGACCTCCTGTTCGTTTAATAAAACTTAATTCATGATTACGCCTAAAAAAACAACAACTTCATGGAGGTTTAAAATTCACATGATTTCGAACTTGGAAACACTGGACAGCTGTCTCGTCCAAGTGTGGGACTCCTCAGCAGTGTGCACCCATGACCCCGACTCCAACATGGCTCCAACCCAGGACCTTAAGGTTTCGGGGTGAGTGCGTTACAACTCCGCCTCTGAGTCGGACCGATTCTATTGAAGGAAAACATACCAACACCAGGTATTCATGATACCGGATGATAGTGTTGCGTGTTATATCCACGCCTATATCTCAACAACAGAAATCACTGTATACGCTTCAATCATGTATATATTGGTGTTTTGGAGAATGAGAGGGAACTATTGTCGGTTGACGAAGTACAGGGGTTCGAACGAAGTTGAAAGTTGGGAGGTTAGTCAAACTAGACACCGCTTGTACTTCTGGGGTTTCATATTCATATTTTTATGCTTTTCTTCAGTTTAGTTTAGAAGCAGATGTTGGCATTATTGCAACTTTTACCATTATTACTATGAAACTTGGCAAGTTGTTACTGGTTTATGTGTGTTATCACCATCATGTCACCATAGGATCCAAAGGCATTACTTCATAACGGTCCAAGTTACCATACCTGATATCAGCGCATGAAGTAACAAAGTCGATCAGAAGCTGTGGAAAGTAGTAGTAGTAGTGGTAAAGTGGAAAAATGAGGGAATGCTGAATTCTGTATAGCAGTTAAGATGAAAATAACATGTGGATACGTGTACGCCACTCACACCCACTCTCAGCCATATCACCCACAGTCAACAACCACTGGTTTCTCGTGTCCCGTGGACCCCAACCGACTGGTCTCCATCTCCTGGCTCTACCTGCTTCAAACCAACAGTCAAAGATTTCATTCACTGATACCATGCTTCTGTCTGACTGACCCGACCCTCTCTCTAGCCTGAACCTACTTCAGCTAACATTGCGCGAAGAGGCAGACAGTGACTAGCCATGCGTAATACATGTTTCAGCCAGCCAGCCATCTCAGTCGATGAAAGTTCACAACCACGTCAACTGACACTCACCTCTTCTCCCTACCCCTAAAACTCTACACCTCACTTCTGCATTACTCACATGGTGGCACCACGACACATGGTCTATGCTACGAAGGCAACAGTGGTTGAACACATGAAGCCTTCTCATATCTTCTACATTTAACAGCCATGTTTCACAGCCTTATTGTAGAAGAGGAAGAACTGCATCACAGTACACTCGACCCTTAATCGACAATTGGATATCGAGGCAGTATCACACAGGTGGCGTAATTTGTCAGAAGCCAGTTGAGCATTTTGTATATGTACCGAAATTTCGTCGGTCACTGGGTCACCGGAGTAGATCCAACTTTCCAGGTGAGTGTAGTAATGGTCAGTACACTGAACTATTTCCCTCCGTATAGTTAGCCAAGGTAACGTTGAAGACGAGTCCTGGATCATTTGGGTGGTGAGAAACGCATCCCAAGCATTCTCAGATTGTCACTTAAGGTGTCCAGAAGAGTCTAGATCTTTCCGGTGTCTTCACTCAACAGGACTATGCCATCTGCATATTCTAGACCAAATGAGGATTCCCCTTTGTGATGAATAATAATAATAATAATGGCTCTATTCTGAAAGCTATTCCAAAAATACTTTACGGAATTTTCAGCATCTGTTGGACAGAGACAGTGTATACAACAACTTTCTTGAAAATGTGCAGTTAACTTTGGTAGACAGACACATTAGCAATTAGATTCATAACAAGTAAACAGTAACATGCTCATCATCTATTAGTTTGCTCTCAAAAGCAAAAATCGATTAGTTAGTTGGTTCATTTCTATGACTTTCTTCATCGCATAGAAAACGAGCAAAATACCTACAGTATTGTAGAGTTTCTATATTTACTGGTACGTGCCCCTTGTCTTTCCAGACGACCAACACTCAAAGAGGTTTCAGTGAAAACGATGTTGGTCATCTGATAAGTTAATGTTTGCCCACAACTAGTTTAACTAGAAGGTTTAAAGGTACACCACAAATTCTTCTGACAATCTTTAAAGTTCTATGCAATATAGTATATTGCTTTTTTCAGTAACCCGAGAAAGATTAAAGGAGAACAGACAAGATGCAAGAGTTTATAAAACACAAGAGGAGAGGCTGAGTTATTGTATGAGATACTCTCAGCTTCTTAATATAGAAAGTTAGGCGGGAAATTCTTTTGGAAATTAGTAAGATATGCGAGGGGACCAAGAAAGGTTCGAAGAAAAACACATACGTCGAGATAAATCACACTTGTAATACTCTATAGTGTACAAGTATCAACAGAACAGGAATCATGAGAACTAAGCAGTTTAAATAAGTTGTATTCATGTGTAAAACTAACGCTAATGGTCTGACATTTTGAAGAATTAAGCATGAAACCATTGTCTGACGACCATAGTCTAACAGTAGACAGATATGGAAACTGTTAGGCCACCAGTATATTTGATGAAATTGATACTAGCTAAAGAATAGCAGAAAGAAAGAGAAAAGACAGAGGGGAAGGACGGCTCCTTGAAGAACACTAGTCACTGCAAGCAATGAGGTGGAGCGCTTCCCTGTGTGAACAGTATATTGTTTCCTGCCACAGAAATAGGAATGCAACCAGCTGATTATCCAGGAGTCAGTATTAGTCCAGGTTAGCTTGTCTTGGGACAGAGTTAAATGGCCAAGTATAGTCTAAAAAGGCACACCTGACATACTTGACATTTTTATCAAGACTATAAGCAATATCGTGACATAAGAGAGTGGTGGCATCCAAAGCGCTTCATCTGCTTTTATATGCAAATTTATAAGCGTCTCGGAAAAACTTCAGTGAGGGCACGAGCATAGGAATTATTAGCTTCTCCATTATTTTTAAGAACGAAGAGGTAACTGCAATCCGACGAAATTTTGTACATGCATCTGGAGTCCTCGACTTAGATACGCACACTGTCTTGATATCTTTCCAGGTAGCTGGTATGGTGTTTGCTATTGAATATGTTAGCACACTCCGTGAATACGAAGCTTGACATACCATCCAGACCTGAACTGCATGAAGGCTTCAGGGATATAAGACATTTGAAAACATCTTTCGCGGTGAACTCTAGACAACGTTCTTCATTGGACATATATATCTTGACACAATAGCTTCTCATAAAAGCTTTATGTGAACATTCTACTTCCATCTTCTTACTATAATATCACGTCTTCCTTTGTTATCATGTATCCTTAGACCTTAACACCAATTTAACTTTGCATTCCCGAACTGTATTCAATTCTTATGACAGCATTACCTCCAGAAACCCTTGTTATTTATTCTTGGTTCAGTTTTCAACAAGTCTTTACTTTCATATTGCGTAATCCCTTTTAAATCTGTTGAGTTTCTAAAGAAAAAAAAAAGCTGAATTTCGTTAAGATACCTTAGAAGAAACTTGAGTGCTGATAGAGTTGTGAGGGCGGTTGACACTCCCCGGCTGCCCACAACATGGAAGGCTATTTCTTATTAAGGTACCTGAAAGAGATTTGTGTGACCACAGAGCCCATCGGACATCTGCTTGAGGTCTGTCACACGCAGTCTTTTGTGTATGGTTGTTTTGAGCTTTTGTTGTTTTGGGACCGGATGGTCGAAAGGAAACGACAAGTGAACCAACACCGCCGGCCTGGCAGATCGTGGGGCGTGGTGGAGTGTGTTATTTTTGGGGCCAACATTTTCTAACCCCCCCCCCTTCCACTGAGAAGGCAGCATCGGCATGGCACTGTTGGTCATCCAAGGGAAACACCTTACTGCTGTCACATCCCATCCAGCTAGCAGCAGTACGACTTCGCCCTCACACCCCCATCATAGTGTAGCAATTTACACTATAACGGTAACTGCTTTTCGTCTAACCACCATCCAACAGACCTTTCTGGTATGGTAGGACCTCGAGGGAACAAGCGTTCCACCAGCATAGCTTATTGAGTCATTGTGATATGCAAGCCTGACCACCACGTCAAGGTAGCAGCTATCGGTCGGGGGGTAACATATTATTCATATTATCAAGTAGACGTTAGATTATATACGCGTGAGCTAGCGAAGAGACAGAAGACAGACACGACAGAAAGAATGTTTATTATCAATAATTGGAACGGTAGTCGATAGATATGGTACACCTTGCACTAAACCCATCATTTGCAAAATGTGTTTCGTTTCCTCGTCTGTTTCTCTCTTCATTTGCTCTTCATACATTCTTATCAGTAGCATCCATTGTAATACGTCTGCGTTATCCCTTGCGTTGCTCTTGGCAGAATCCTTATCCACAATAGTACAGCTTTAGAATGATTCGTTGAAAATTGAGTAACTCTTAGCTAAATGTCTTTTGGAGGTTTATGGAGGTTTATTAATTGATTTTCTTTTTGGTTTATGTATAAACCTTCAACTTGGATCAATATGTGTGGGTTTGTAGTGCTACCCGATTGACTGTTGAGACTGAATCAGGTGGAGTGGAAAGCTTCAATCTTGGAGTGAACCCAGAAATCTCATATTTTAGATATTTTCCAAAAACATCAGAATATTTGACCAGGATAGCAAGGTAGGGAGATTTATCACTGTAGAATAAACCACCGTAACCGAAAAACAAGTAGGTAATATCAACATGGAACCAGGCATTATTGCATAACAGTTTAAGTTGCCACACTTCATACCATCACATCAAGCGAGAAAGTAGTCAAAAGTGGTATAAAGTCGTGATAATAAAGAGGAATGAACCGATATTGAATTCAGTATGACAATTAAGAGTCTCCAACACCTATGATTTCTTTAGTCACATGGACCCCCTCTATATATGGCCCAGACCAACAAGCAAAAATTTCATACACCGATAGTATATTTTAGTCTGACCACCTAGAGCTTTTATCCAACCTGAAAGTAATTTAGCTAACATTGCATCACAAGGCAGACATGCGTAACACAGTCTTCCACAGCCTTTAAACTCTTCTTTTCACAGTAACCATAATAACAGAGAATAGATAACAAACATAGTAAGTATTTCTTACACTTACCTTCCAAAGTCACATATTTTTAACACACCTTGATCCAGATTGATCAACAAATTTTGTGGCTTTATATCTCTATGACATATCCCTTGGTTATGTATGTAAGCTAATCCGCGTAGAAGTTGAAAACTGTACAACTATACAATGGAATGGACAAGAAGTGTAAATATTATGAAGGTTTGACTGATAACTTATGAAATTGTACGGAATATATGCATGTTGAATTATGTTTCAATTACTGCCAGTATATATATGATACACATTCATCATTTTTAAATAATGACTCTAATGTTGAAGATCCTTTGAATACCTTCAACATATGTTCACCAATCAGGAAGCACAGAGGGGTAGTATTTCTTTCCTAGATGTCCTGCTCATCAGAAGAACGAATGAATATATATGATGATATATACATATTCCGCAACTAAAGCAATGATGAATAGTGGCTAGCACTGGAATCCAGGATGTGCATTTCGTTCTATTTGGGACTCGTCAGCTGGATATACCTACTTCCCATTGAGAGACGTTGTTCCCACCGGGACTCGGACTTGGGAGCAATCGCTTCAAACGCCATAGCGTTGTCCACTACACCACCGAGCAACGATAGCCACTTCTTGTGCGATGGGTATAGTTTTAGTATTATTGCTTGTATTATACCGTCGTTGATTAGACCGAATTGATCGGCCTTTATTGGCCTATGCGCTCCTGTGCGGATGCCTCGATATGACCTGTATCCTAATTATACTAATGACGGATATTGGCAAGCAGTGGAATCCAGAATGCGCATTTCGTCATATTTGAGACTCGTCACATAAGTAATGGCTCGGTGGTGTAGTGGATAAGGCTTTGGCGTTTGCAGCAATCAATCCCGAGTCCGAGACCCGGTGGGAACAACACTGGGTGGCAAGTACACCCAGCTGACGAGCCCCAAATGGGACGAAGAGCGCATCCTGAATTCCACTGCTAGCCACCATCCATTATTACCATAAACAGAACACAGGTAATACCGAGGCATCCGCGCAGGAGTCCATATGCCAATAGAGACCGATCAATTCGGTCTTTTCACCTACTCACCTACCTACCTAGGAGGCAGCATCCTTTCAACTACAGACACCACACGCTCGCACACACACACACACAGATGACAATCTCAAAGTCAGACACGATCGCAAACACAGCAACACAGGACTTCCTTCATTAATCTCAAATCAATGTGCAGGTCTACTCCACTCAGTATGTCGAACAACATGTGCATTTTAAACACCAAGTCAGTCAGTACTTCTATGACATGGTTCACAGATATCGCACATTACGAAAAGCATTCACAACAAACTACAGACATCACACATCAACACCTACCTTTAAACTCTTCTTCTCACACTAACCATAATAACAGAGAATAAATAACATACATAGTAAGTATTTCTTACACTTACCTCCACACTCAAGATGGAGATCACATCATCACAAAGAATAAGCAACAACCAACTCTGATCTCACAACGAACCAACCAACTAACCAACAACCTGTCACCCAACAAATATACAGAACAAAGTGGAGATGGATTGGACATACACTGAGAAGCCCGTTTGGGCACATCAAGTGCCATGTCAGGCCCTCCAGTGGAACCCAAAGGGGGAACGACGAGTTAGTTGTGTGTCCGAGGGTGACATGGAGGAGATGGTGTGAAGAAGAAATTAAAGCTCATGGGCAGTCATGGACGCAGGTTCAAAAGACTGAAGAGAAGAGAGTGAAGTGGCGACGTGCTCCTGAAGCCCAATGTCCTACTAGGAAGGTAAAGGATAGATAAAAATAGTAATAGTAAGCATAAAGCAGGTCTCATTGATTTGAGAAAGACGGCAGAAAGCTGTTCCCCGCGAAGGAATGAATCTTGCAGTGACTATCATCGGTAGTAGATCAGGTTTAAGACGGCTGGAGGAGAACTAGAACCAGTGACCGTATATCTTGTAGTTTGATGGTAAGCCAACTGTTGAATGCAACAAAAATGGGTTTCGTATACTTTAACTGACAAAGTCAGTCGTGAAAGTGACTGTCAAAAATGCATCATGTTGATGCACCGCTAAATTATACGTTTCTCAGTTACAAAGTAACTGTCTATGTCAACTGAATGATATCCGACTTCTGGACAAAAATCGTTCATCGAATTCAACAAGACATGATGAAACCGGGATGGTCATTTTTAGACGCATCTATCCTTTCTAGAAACCTTTACACTGAACAGTTGATAAGTGTTAGTTGGTTGGAAGCAATCGGAAAGAAGCACTCCTTAACATGCTGCTTGTTGGCACTAGTCAGCAAGGCATATCTGCAACTTCAAGGAACTGACATTGCTTTAGAGATTCGAACCCCATGTCATTCAGTGGTGCAGATAAAGACGTTACCATTGAGCCATTCGTGTTGTAATTGACCTCATGTAAAATTGGATTAGATGTGATAAAGTGTAGTAACTTGAATCAATACACACATCTGTAGGTGATTCTACGTCGAGTTTTCCTCCTATTTATGGATTAAAAACTGTTAGACACTCCGTCGGCGTATCAGCGAACAACTAATCAGGATGATATCTGATATTATGGTTGAAAAAGTAGTAACCAGCCTAGGAACAAATAGTATAAAAGGTTGAAATATTGGTACTTTAATGATCTACAATAAACACAACACTAGAATCATTAATCAGAAGTGCATTCTAATGTTGTGTTTATTCTATATCATTAAAAGGATTGAAAGAGGATGTCAAATCTAGCCAGGATCGGAAAGACAGCAAGACAGGCTTTCATTAACCTGAAACCAGTGTGGAGATCTACCCCACTGCACTCAGCATAAAACGTGAACAACATCCGGATTTTCAACGCTCTTAGTGTCAGTCAAGTCAGTGCTTCTGTATGGCTCCAAGACTTGGTGCGTTACAAAAATGATTCCCAACAAATTACAAACATTCATCAACAACTGCCGCCTACGCTGGCTCGTTACTGAAGATCAGATGGATTGCCAGAAAGAATAAGCAACAACGAACTCACTCTGTCAACGAACCAACTAAGCAAGAACCTATCACTCAACAAATATGCAGTAGAAGGAAGTGGAGATGGATTGGACATGCACTGAGAAGACCATTCGGGAACATCACGCCCCAGGCTAGTCCCTCGAGTGGAACCCAGATGGGAAACGATGAGTTGAGCGTCCGAGGGTGACACGGAGATCGTGAGAGGAAGAAATGAGAGCTTGTGGGCTGTCGTGGAGCCAGGTTGAAAAGTTTGCAGAGAACAGGGTGCACTGGAGATGTGCTACTGAAGCCCTATGTTCCATTAGGAACCCAAGGAATAAATAATAAACATAATAATAATCTGATCATTAATAAACAGATTAGAAGAACACTGACACACACACACACACACACACACACAACAATTTAGACTGTTAATCGACTTGTACAGAGCAGATATTTTCTTACCTTCACATATGCCAATGGTATAACTTGCCGAATCCGCCAATAATGTCTGATAAGACGACTCAGTGTTTGAGGTATATACTCTTGAATTAAGTTGAGATAAGTTTCACCTGGTTTCTAAGATTCAGTAAGGTGAAAAAAATAATAACAACAACAACAACAGAGACACTTACTGATGATGACGATGAATAGAAGTAATAATACAGTGGTACAATATTAGAGTGATGCAATATTCGAAGTATTTGTAATTCACGATTCTACAAAAACAAGACAAAAAAAGAGATAAATTGAATTATCACTAACTTTATATCGTTTATCCTGTAAAACTTTTTTAATCGCCACTTCACGATTATCACCAAGAACTGCATAATAAACAATACCAAAGGAACCATTTCCAACAGTTTTAACATTTGAATATGTGATATGCACAGGAGAGGAATCATCTTCACAGCGAATTGCTTCAACTGAAACATGTGCTTCTTTATCGTCTAAAATATAATTGAAAGGTTAAAAATACAACTTTTAAATACTTATGCAAACATTCTTTTTTGAAAGGAAAAAAAAAATAGCAGAAAATTGAAATGGACTCAGCAATTTTGTGCATATTCGTTCAATAGTCACCAATGAGCCACATGTATTGGATGAGACCTAATGTTATTACATGGCTGATAATGAAATTTCTGCAAGTGGAACGAGTTTTGAACCCCTGACCCATTACTAGTTGAAGATTAAATGGTTAAAACGAAAAGCAACAACTCCATCAGTTCTCATATTATTATTCGTCCCTTGGGTTCCTAGTGGGACATAGGGATACAGTAGCACGTCTCCATTCCACTCTCTTCTCTACAACCTTTTGAATCTGGCTCCAAGACTGCCCAAAAGCTCTCATTTCTTCCTCAAACGATCTCCTTCATGTCACCCTCGCCTCGGATGCTCAACTCGTTGTTTCCCATCTGGATTCCACTCGAGGGACTGGCCTGGTGCGTGATGTCCCCAGTCGGTCTTCTCCGTGTATGCCCAACCCATCTCCACTTCCTTCTACTGCATATTTGTTGAGCGGTAGCTTCTTGCTTAGTTGGTTCGTTGACAGAGTGAGTTCGTTGTTGCTTATTCTTTCTGGCAATCCATCTGATCTTCAGTAACGAGCCAGCGTAGGCGGCAGTTGTTGATGAATGTTTGTAATTTGTTGGGAATCATTTTTGTAACGCACCAAGTCTTGGAGCCATACAGAAGCACTGACTTGACTGACACTAAGAGCGTTGAAAATCCGGATGTTGTTCACGTTTTATGCTGAGTGCAGTGGGGTAGATCTCCACACTGGTTTCAGGTTAATAAACGCCTGTCTTGCTTTTCCGACCCTGGCTTTGACGTCCTCGTCTATGCCTGTGCCGCCATTTGTAGTTGAAACGATGCTGCCTAGGTGGTGGGTGAAAGAGGCTACTTCCTTTAAGTTTCCCCCATTGATGGTGATTGGAGGTTTTGTTGTCGGTGATGGTGGTGTTGGTCGGGTATCATCATCACCTCTGTCTTCTCCACGTTCACTTAAAGTCCCGTCTTCGCTGCCTCGCCTCTTCTGTCGACTTGTTAGTTTTCGCCTGTAGATCTTCGAGTTTGTATGACGTTAGACACAAGTCATCATCGGCGAAATCCAAATCTTCTAGGATCTTTTCATCGGTCCAGAGTATCCCCCATAAGTTTTCATATACAAATCACATATTTTAAGTACGACTTGTGGTCTTGCATAAAAACCTGTACTAAGTGGGACTGATTTAACCTAAATCTGAAGCATTCTTATACAGGTGTTCATAAATGTAACTACAGGCAACTTTGAGTACTGTTTTCTTTCGATTAAAGACAATTAATTATTACTAAAAATAACGAGGAATTGAATAGCTAGACAATAACCACTTACTGGTTAATTAGCCATTGTTTCAAAGTTAACTATCCACTAGATCATTGTGGCATCCGCATAGTAGCCTATCTGCCAACTGAGGGGTCAAGCAATTCAACAGAGTATAGCAACAGAAAATTATAAGTATCACTAAACAACAACATAGACGTCAGTTATCGCATATCGATATCCGATACACGCATCCATATTGTAAACAATATCCAAACTTTTAACTGACCTCAACACTAAACTCTATGTATTTGTTTTTATTACAAACAGATAAGCGAAAATAAAAGTATTCTGGCTAACCATATAGTTTTATCCCCTATCTAGGTGAATGGGATACCTACAAGTTTAATCTGATACAGTACCCAACCAAAATGTAACATTTGTGTGACATAGTAATGCTTAATTCGGACATACTCAACTTCTGAAATCAAACTTCACTGACTAATTCATGTTAGACAGACAAACAAAGATGTATTACATCAAGTTGCAACAACACCTTACTGCAACATGCAAAGAACAAGTGAGTACAAAACAAACGGCATTAAGGTGAACAGAGGCGTGTAAAAAGAGACGATTTATAAATGAATGCTACTGAGAATATTCAAGATTTTGAAGATAAAATGCATACATCTGTGACACTGTGAAGACGATACATCACCAAGATTCTCCAATCATTGATTATTAATGACCTCAATCATAGTCTATACTTCTCTACACAGATCAGACCAACATTCAAAGAATTCGTGGACTGGTGCTATATCATGGTCTAACAACCCTTAGCTTACTTTTAGCCAAATCCTACTTCAGCTAAGATCGCACGTAGAAGTAGACAGGGGCCTGGCATGCGCAACACACGTCAAATCCTCCTCACTTGCTAAAGACTGACAACCTCACAGACTGAATAACCTTCCTTACCTACTACCCTCAAACTAATTTCAACACTGCTTACACAGTGATTCTACCACACGCCAGCAATGTTACATAGACACTTAGCGTCAAAAACATGTAATCTCTTTATGTCTACCAGTAGACATGTTTCACAGCCGTGTAAGAGGACCAAACGGAATGCAGTGCATCATACTCATTAGATATCTCATCAGCTACAAGCATGAAGTTAGCAAATGCCACACACACCTTTTGAATCCAAGCTAGAATTTAGCCAGCGACCAACCTCTTTGAGCTGGTGCAACTTGCCAAGTAAATGCAGTGACCAACATATTCTACCAGATAGACAAAGTTAATGCAAAGCGTAGCATAGAAGTGAATTGTTTCAAGTTCCCAAACGTCACAGCAACATCTTTTAAGTGAGTAGAAAAACAGTGGTACCAAAGTAGACAGAAGTGTAAGGGAGGAGAAAAAGTTTTAAAAATGATGGTTAGTGGAGATGCATAAACTTTAGATGTTGATAAGTAAATACAAGTTACCGAAGTGCTGCAACCACTGATCACACCACTTCACTCACTATTTTTGAACTGGGAATAGTTGCAAATCAGTTCCCGAAAACTATCTTATATTTGATAGGTGCCAAACGTAATCCACACCAGGCCCTCGAGTGGAACGACGAGTTAGTTGGGTGTCTGAGGGTGACGTGGAGGAGATCGTGTAAGAAAGAAATCAAAGCCTATGAGCAGTTGTAGAGCCAAGTTTAAAAGACTGCAGAGAAGAGAGTAGAATGGAGACGTACTACTGAAGCCCTATGTCCCACAGGAACATAAGGGACAAATAATAAAATAAATAAACGTAAACCACGCACACTCCAATTTATGCTGAGTGTTTAGAAGACCCTGCATTTTGTCAGCGTCTGCGACTAACAGGACGTCATCAGAGTACTTCAAGTTTGCCAGATGCCCTCTAGGGGATAAGACAATCCTTTGTAGGTCTATAACAAAGCTAAACAGGAATGGTGGACACCACTGATTGTCGTTACTCCAAACGACAACACTCGACCAATAGCAGCTACCTTGACGTGGTGGTCGGGTTTGCATATCACAATGACCCAACGAGCTATGCTGGTGGAACACTTGTTCCCTCGAGGTCCTACCATACCAGAAAGGTCTGTTGGATGGTGGTTAGACGAAAAGCAGTTACCGTTATAGTGTAAATTGCTACACTATGATGGGGGTCTGAGGGCGAAGTCGTACTGCTGCTAGCTGGATGGGATGTGACAGCAGTAAGGTGTTTCCCTTGGATGACCAACAGTGCCATGCCGATGCTGCCTTCTCAGTGGAAGGGGGGGGGGGTTAGAAAATGTTGGCCCCAAAAATAACACACTCCACCACGCCCCACGATCTGCCAGGCCGGCGGTGTTGGTTTACTTACCGTTTCTTTTCGACCATCCCGTCCCAAAACAACCATACACAAAAGACTGCGTGTGACAGACCTCAAGCAGATGTCCGATGGGCTCTGTGGTCACACAAATCTCTTTCAGGTACCTTAATAAGAAATAGCCTTCCATGGTGTGAGCAGTCGGGAAGTGTCAACCGCCCTCAAAACTCTGTCAGCACTCAGGTTTCTTCAGACTGCTATCCACCTCCTTCATCATTACCTTCTACTCTTTCTTCACATCTCTCAATTAACGATACTGCATCATCTTCAATTTCTCCTAGCTCTGCAGCCTTCGACAACGATCTGAATCCACAGAACAGCATCCCTGGTCACCTTAAACTATGCTCTAAATTACACATCGAGGCCTTCAATATCCGCACCCTCCGTCAAATTGGTCAAGAGGTTTCATTAGCCAAGACTCTAGCAACTCGGGGCATGGATGTGTTCTGTGTTTGTGAGACACGCATACAGGACCCGAGTGCGGTTATTCACCTAACATCTCCCGGCCGATCTGATGAATCAGCAAAATTCACCCTTCGAGTTTCTGGAGATCCGATAGCTAGCTCTCGTGGTCTTGCAGGTGTAGGCATAGCATTAAGCACTAGGGCAAAAAGCTCACTACTAGATTGGATCCCAGTTGATAGTCGCCTCTGAGCTGTTCGGTTGAGCGGCACAGTGAGAACTAAAAGGAATAGTGAAACTCGCCGTTGTCTCTTTGTGATCTTTGCTTACGCACCCACTGACTTCAGCTCGGATGAAGTGAAGGACGAGTTCTACCGAAAACTGTCTAGTATCCTTTCGTAATCCAAACGTTTAGACGTGGTGGTTGTTGCAGGTGACTTCAATGCCCAGGTGGGTAGACTGAGTGAGGCAGAAACGCATCTAGGTGGCACTTTCGGAATCCTGGCTGAAAGAAAAGATAACGGTGGTCACCTACTACAACCGTGTTCAGATAACCTCTTATTCTTAGCTAGCACAAATTTCAGACAAAGAAAGACACTGTCTGACGTGGCGTCCATCGAGCTCAACTCAGTGATGGACACAGACCACATTGCTATCAGTCATCGCTGGAGAGAATCGTTAGAAGACTGTCGCTTCTTCTGGAGTACGTGTTTGGATAGAGACCATGCGTTGGTCCGAGCGTGTTTATGTCTGCGTCTCAATGAACATAGGAAAAAGTTGACAACAAAATTATTACGAGTGCAGCTCGACAACGAAAACACCAAAGCCGCGTTCAGTGAGAAATTGGCTAGGCAGTTATCGGAACAGAACACTACCACTCATCCAGAAGAAGCTTGGTGTCATCTCCAGTCTGCTGTAAAAGCAGTGCCAAAGATCATAGCCGACTCCGAAAGTGGGTAAAAAGAGCTAGTAGATATCAACAGCTTCCTCCGAACTAATGGATGCACGTGAACACCTCCCTGCAGCCTCTGAGTACAATGAAGAGCGAGCGCAACTTTAAAGTACAAGAAAGTCTACGCAACGACTGTGAACAGTGGTGGGCAGTGAAGTTTAGAGATGGAAAAGGTAGCGGCAACTGGTAACAGTAGACAGTTATTTAGACTTAGCAAAGAAACCGGAGAGAAAAGGTTAACAACGGTTAGTGAGACTATAGTGGAGAAGGACGGGTCTGCGATTCACTCGCAGGGGAGACGACTGGAACGATAGGCAACACTTCGAGCAACAGTTTAACTGGCCTCCAGCCACCATTGCGTTGCCTGCTATCTAGTCAGATGCTGAATGGAACACTGAGATAGGCCCCCTATACGCTCGCAGAAGTCAAGAAAGCTGTAGGTAACTTGAAACAAGGGCAGCAGGACCAAACGGATTAACTCCTGAGGTATACAAGGATGGTGGTAAAGTGCTTTCTAGTCGGGTCAACAGAAGTGTTAACTAGTATACGAGAACCAAATACGATCCCTACTGACTGGTTGAAATCACTGATTATCCCAGTCTTCAAGAAATGCGATAACTACAAAGGAATCAGCCCGAGGAAAATAGTGTCCAAGATTCAAGGTTCTATAACTCTCCAACACCTGAGTGGAGCTCAGGAACAGCAAGCCCGAGAAAACGGGACAGGTTTTAGACCCGACCGCGGGTAAATCGACTAAATATTCACACTATTACAGGTTTTGGAATACGAATACGCTTACCGACAATAGCTGTATTTCTCGACCTGAAGGCGGCATTCCACTCCGTTGATCGAGAAGTCTTATGACAATGTCTCTCACTGAAAGGCGTGCCGAATAAGTACTGAACGCTCTCTACTCGAACACTTGTGGAAATGTTAGAGTCTATGGAGAGATGTCCAGGGAGCTGTACTCGTCGAGTGATGTCCGTCAAGGGTGCCTACTCTCTCCATTGTTATTCAATTTTATCATAGAAATTCTTATGGAGCTCTCCCTCTCGTCACCTGACTACACAGAGGTTGACCTAATCGCAGAACTTTCGTTAGACCTAGAATATGAAGATGACATAGTCCTGTTAGGTGAAGACGCTGACAAGATGCAGTCTTTTGGACACTGAGGGTGTTTGGGATATGCTTCTCATCACCCAAATGCAAATTGTTGCTCCACAATTGGTCTTCAACGGTGCCTTGGCTAACGATAGAAAGTATAGTGGTTGAGTATGCTGACCACTTCACCTACCTGGGAAGTGGGATCAGCCCTGTCATGGTGGCTCAGTGGCCGATGAAATCTCTGCACAAATACAAAAGGCTCGACTGGCTTTTGCCAACTTACGCCATCTGTGGTGCTGCCGTGACATCCGATTGTCTATTAAGGGTCCCGTGTACTGCAAGGCAGTCCCCTCTGTTCTACTGTATGGCTGTGAAACATCGCCATTCAAGGTGGAAGACATGAGAATGTTTCAGGTGTTTCACCACCGTTGCCTTCGTAGTATAGGCCGTATTCCTTGGTGTCACCACACCACGTGAGTAACACAGAAGTCAGGTGTAGAGCTTCAGGGAGGGAGGAGAGGTAAGTCAGTTGACGTGGTCGTCAACCTTCATCGACTGAGATGGCTGGCTGGCTGGCTAACAGGGACATGTGTTTCGTATGCGTAGTGGCTGTCTGCCTCGTCACACAATGTTGACCGAAGCAGTAGGTTCAGACTGGAGAAAGGCTGTTGGCTCTCGGCTAGAATAAAACATGGCATGAATGTATGAAGTGTTTGACTGTTGGTATGAGCCATGTGCGGCGACGCAGACTAGCCAACTGAGTTTGGTGAGACAAGAGAAACAAGTGGTTGGAGACTGACTCTAGGTGATATGACTGAGAACCGAAGTCGATGGTGCAGATGTACCCTCACACACATCATCCTGATCTTAATGTGATACCGAATCTCACCATTTTGTCATTCTTCCTTTCTCTCTTTGAGTACTTCATATCTCACTTGACTGAATTTTCTTTTCTTCATATTCCACTTTACTGCCTTTTTACTTGATGTACTGATATGAGATGTGGCAACTCGGACCGTTACGCAGTAACGCCTGATCCAATGTTGATTTGGAGAACTGGATGGAAACGGCAACTCCGCATAAGCTCTTATACGGCTGCGTGAGTTCCAGTAGAGCTTTGATTACTATTACATACCTGCTCGGTAGTCTAATCACAGACTGAGTACCGCAATACGTTTCTATCGAGAGTCAAATGCCACCTTGAAGCTAGATGGACTATATCAACACAGAACCTGGTATTACTGCGTGACGGTCCAGGTTTCCTAACCTTGTTTCACCACGCCAAGATAAAAGACAAAGCAGTCAAAGTGGTAGAAAGTCATCAAAGATGTGGCACCAGTCGATGAAGTCTCTTACTGTTGGCTAACGCCTTGAGGGGAGATGTAGACTATTTGGTTGGTCCTCCGAGACGAAACGAACCAGTGGTTGAGGACACTTGGTGACGTCTGGAAATTTGTCATAATGGCGTATATGCAACATTCAATACTTGACATCTAAAGCTTGAATATTTGCACAGTCCGTTGTCTTCAAATTTTTTATTCTCTCATAGCTTTGTCTACTTTGATATCACTCTTTCTCTACGCACCTATCCTTTTTGTACTATGAAGTGTAGCAACTTGGGCCGATGCAATTGTGTGCGTAGCTCTACGTTGATTTTGTCAGTCAGTCAATTACTTACCAACCTTTTGCATGGTCGTCCACTAGGCAATGAGCCACACCTATCGTTTCACGGCTAACGGTACTACCTGACTGCATAAACCTCGGTAAAAGGAGCAATGTTCAAACGAGTAACATACTTGCTAAAAATTAACTCCTTAAACCAATGACCCACAACTCCACAGACCCTACATAAGCACAACAATGACTATTCTACAATCGTTTACTGATAACATGTAGATTCGTTAACTAGAATAAACAGTGTGTAATCAACAGAGAGCACAACGAAGAAACACATGAATTCAGTAACTCTAAGTCAACAAACTTTGGAACAATAGACAGTGGAATTAAGGAGAAACGTAACGATGCTAAAACGAAAGTAACTGAAACAGGTACGCGGTTATGAATTACACTATGAACTACACTCTGTGTGACGGTTAATGCTACTATCTAGTTATCCAGGCCATAGTAAGTGTAGTAGGATGTGAAAGCGGAACCTACTGGTTGAAAGTTGAATGCTTAAGCCAATCAATCGACAAAGCACCAAACAATCATAATTAAAAACATGAGATGGAATGTATTTAACCCATTTGGAAAAATTCTAATCAAAAGTGTAACAATAAGTTGATAAGTAAAACGTAAGAGATAATAGTGCACGCCATATTTCTATACAAAATCAGAAATTATTACATTGTCATCGGTTGAGCTTATTGTCAATAAGCTTCCATCAGTGCGCTCATACGAAGTTCTATGGATGCGTCTTCATACCCAACAATGACTAATAATAAATTTAACTTGGAGGAAATTTTACGTAGATCTGCGAATCCCTATTTATCTCAGTTTGTCTGTAATATTTAAATAGTTTCAAAGTAAGATGATAACCCAGAGGGAGTACCATTTTCCAGTAAGCTGCAAACTATGTATATGGAAAGATGATACCCTTATTGTCCTAAAATCAAAAGAAAACGACTAAACAGTGTCTACTATGACTTTAGATGACTTTAACTAGTTCAATTAAGATCCTTTGACTAGCTTAAATATTCAAAACGCAAAACGGTCACTGTGATCTAGATCTGCTTATACACTGTAAACGAAGGACTTAACATTATGGCTTGGAATGTTTACATCATTATTTCCTAATGGTTAGCAATAAATAAACTACTCATTCCGAGTCTGAGAACTAATAATTCGCCAACTCTCTATAAGTATAACGTCCCAGCAGACAGAAAGCTGGAAGTCATAGAAAGAAGCTTTATATCGTATTATTGTCTTTCATATGGTTTGCATATGAATGAAAAATTTGTCAAACTGATATGAATAACCAACTATCAACAGTAAATAAAACAAGCAAAGACACTATCAAAGCTCTATCTTTCCTTCTAATTGATCAATTTGGTTCAGTTGTGAGAGCGAATCTGAAGTTGTATCTCGACCACGCAAAGTGGATAACTATTGTCTAAGTCTGGTTAAGAGCGCAATTATTACCATCCAACTATCACGCTTTACCCTTATCCACAGCATTGGGGTCATTTACAATGAATGCTTCTGAAGATTCTACTTCGCTTCTCTTAGAAGTCATTGAGAACTGAATAAACCATATAACAACATGGCACTATTTCAGAAAATAACTATATGGAAAAATTCGGAGAGAAATAAACATATAAACTAACCTGTCACTCCAATTGGTAAACACTGAACAGGTTCCCTAACCAATCATGTAATGAAAAGATGGCAATTAGTAAGTTATTGACATTTTCATAAATATTTCTAGGTACAGTAACTTACTAGGGATTTTCGACAAACCATAGTTATTATCACTACTTAGTGTAACCTTAGAGTCCACAGGTGTCATGAAGCCCAGTTTAAATAACGCACAGCTCTCAGGTACCCAGTTCAGTGTACAATAGTCCAATAGAAGACACTAAAGAGATACATAATATAGCCTGCATGTATTTTCAGCATCCTACGAGAACTTTGTGATGTAACTTGAAGTTTTAAAACTGATATTCAACACCTAACGTCTACAGTGCAAGCGTAGGAAACTGTTAGCATTTCACAAGTGCTGTTTGAAAAGAGGAGTGACTTTTCACGTCCAGCTAGATTCTGGGCATTTTTTGTGTCTACACATCAAAGGCCGCTGCGTTTTTGCTTTCATCGGAATGCTATTCGGTTAAAGTGGAACAGCAGCTTTTACTGGTTGAATTTCTGTAGTTTTTTTGCTACATGGTTAGCTAGAAGTTTCGTAAAAATGCTTGTGGTAGGGCTGGGTGCCACTTCACAGTGGCCTCTGATATGCAGTGTGGCGAATGGAAGAGTTGTATCTAAGATAACCGCACAAGCCTTACACTCTCAGCGTATAAGAGGTACAGCAACGCAGGTGGTGTCTGGCTTTGTACGTTGTGCGGCTCGGATATTCGCACTCTTGTAGGAGAAGCAAGAACACTTCAAAATACGATAACTAGGAAAATGCCATCTAAATTTAAAGCCGGTAACTGTGAAAGTGACGACGATACAGCACCCATTAACATACAGATTGCCGTGCAGAATTTTAAGAAAGCCCCACTCTAAGTTGTAAGTCAGGGGCGTAGACTGCCTACTAGGTTTGCTGACAACGACTTGGAAGAAGCTACACCAAGTGAGGTGAAGCGAGTAGCTTCTGGTTCTCACAATCCCAGAGATGGTAGACCCAGTCTGAAAGCTGCAGGCCGTAAGACTATGTCAGCTTCAGATGAAAGAAACAGGAGTGAGGCGCTCACAGTGACAATGACGGAACTATGCAGGCCGCAGGTAATACCCAGTTCGGCGACGCAGTAATTGACAAGAAGTCATTACTGAAAATAATCTTCGGTTACTCAAAGTCGTGTTCAAGTCGGCAGATATGAGAAATCGGATTTTGGAGGATGCTCTCAGACTTCAAGGATCCAGTGTTCGTGCGAAAGGATCCGATTCTTGCTGATCGAATGAAAAAAGAGAAGCAGGAGCGGAACTAAGATCCAGATTAGCGGCTGCAGAGCAAGATCTGAAGGTGGTGGGCTTTCGTGTGATGAGGTTTCGGCAACAAATGATGCCGGACCCTCTATGGATAGGACGGAAACTCATCTAAGCAGTTTCGCTGTCTTGTACACAAGTGGACTGAGCCTGGTGATGTAGTAAACAACGACAGCCCAGACATCATTGCTATCTCAGAAACTTGGCTTTCTTCTTGGGTCAGCAGCTGTGAAACACATTTACGAGGATTCGTTTCCTTTAGAAGTGATAGTTTAGCACGCAAAGGTAGTGGTATCATCCTTTAAGTTGAGAAAACCTTAACTGTGAAAGTCACTGAAGCAATTGCACATGAAAGTGGAACATGTGAAATGCCGCACTGCCGACTGAAACGCGACGGGCAAGAAGTTAACGTGATCTTAATATATCGAAGCCCTGCATGTGAGGCGGCAGACTTCCTCCTGAATAAGCTAACCCTCTGGACAGATACATACTGATCTCTGGTTTTAGGAGACTCTATAATAATAATTATCATATGTACATGTATATTTCATACAACAAAGGTTACATGAATGCAAACCAGTTTACAGGTTTGATCATTCTGGTAATGAGAAATGACGATTATGTACAATGTTAAGCTATACACTAGATACCGTTATTTATGGCATATAAGAGGTGTGTTGAAGCAGGCTCAGTTAGAATTTAAGGATTATTCGGTCATCGTTTGAATCTTCCAATATTCTTGAAGGTCAGGCCGCATCACAGTCATGAACTTGAGGTGTGCGCGTTCGTCATAAGGTCTTGACAGCAATGCTTCCCACTGACAAACGCGATTTGTAGGATTCCATTTGAATGCAGGACTGGTTAGGTAAACCTGAAAAGTGAATAACAAAGAGAGTAGCAGACAAATTCGAAACAGGAGCAGGAAAATAGGCAGGAGCAGATCAGCCATGATACATCTGGGTGAGTTCTTTGTACTGACTGTAAAACTTACATGAAGAAGTATCCAGAACCAACACTTTAGAGGTAAGCTTAGGGGTAGAAAGATGCGTAGCGACATACACTTCCCCAAAATCAATAGCCTAGGGCTTGACGACTTTCGACATTGATGCTGACCTTGATAGTTTAACTGGACTTGCTAAGCTGAAGGCACACGGTCAAGCATCCTCGCCATTTGGCACGCTGTCGTGTTACGTTGCACTGCTCGTATTCCACTCTCTAGCCAGTTAGTTGGAACGCATCGGTATTTTGGCACAACCATCCAAATATACTATTCCATCCGACTACGCTATCGTGTTCTTCCTTGGTCTCGTATTCGAATAATTAGTGATTGGTCTTCGCGTCTGTCAAGTTCGCACCAGGACAAATCCTAAATTGGTGAGCCCGACGTGATCACATCCCGACCAATAACAAGTATTGAATTGGTGAGCCTGTTCCATTTTATATTTGTTTATTGTTTTCATTTCGATAACATTTATATATCCATTTACTACACTTTCTCATGTCCGACCACACTCCCAAGCTTATTCGTATTAAGCCGACTTCGAACACGATCCAACTCGTGCCATATTGGCCAGACAATGCAGAAACATGGTTTCTGTATGCCGAGGCCGATTTTCGAGAACAGGGTGTCTCAGATCCTCATTCTCGATTTCTTGCTGTCATGCGGTCACTACCGCGAGAATTAAACAGGTATGTTACAGCAAACATGTTTAATCCTGAAGTAAGTGACCCTTATGCACTTCTAAAGGCCGCACTCTTGAAGAAAAGCGATCTCACAGATCGCCAACGTCTAGACGAATTACTTCGTAACATCGAGCTAGGCAGCCACTCAGCTACTGAAGTCCTCGCACGCATGCGAGAAGTAATCGGTGCACGAACATTTGACGATGGTTTTTTCCGAGAACTATTTCTCTCGAAACTACCACAACCGGTGCAAACCGTGTTGGTGACACTGCAGTCAGTCCCACTCGACGACCTGGCAGCCTCAGCAGATAAAATACTGGAGATATCCAGCAGACCCATCTCCAACGTATATTCTATCTGCGACAAACCAGAGCGCCAGGATTCAGAGGTGACCAAGTTGTGCAACTCTGTTAAACGGTTGCTACGATCTCGAAGTCCTAGATCACGTAGCACTTCACAGAAACGCACCTTGGCGCATCGCAGCAAGTCTCGTGGTAGCCCTAAAACGAAACCCAACAGGGTGGAAAACCCTGAATGGTGCTGGTTTCATAACACTTACGGGGATGAAGCCAGAAAATGTCGTAAACCATGCCGTTTTAAGAAGGACACAAACTCGGGAAACGGTCACGCCGGCACGTGCTCACGGCAACCGTAGCCGGCGGAAAAAGCCGTTTGCTCTACGTCACCGACATTAAAACGAAAGTCCGCTACCTCGTCGACACCGGCGCAGAAGTTAGCGTTCTTCCAGCAACGACAAAGGAGCGTCATCACGACCCATCCTTCAATCTTCAAGCAGCCAACGGCAAGGCAATCGCGACATTCGGGAGACGGTATGCCTACCTCAACTTAGGTTTACGCAAACCTATTCACTGGATCTTCCTCCTTGCTGACGTCTCTATGCCCATCATTGGCATAGATTTGCTAAACCATTACGATCTACTCGTAGATGCTCGCCGTCGACGACTGATAGATAACAACACAAAGTTATCTATTGGCGGCACCACCTATGTAGGTCCGAGTTTAGCCATCGTTAGGACTAAACAATCAGGCGACGCGTCCTACCAGGCAGTTCTGGAGAAATATCCAGAGTTACAGCAACCGAAGCACACTCTTCCGTGCATAACCAGCAATGTTATGCATCACGTCACAACCACAGGTCCACCTGTGGCATCCAAAGCGCGCCGTTTAGCCCCCGATAAGCTCCAAACGGCGAAAAATGAATTCGACCACATGCTCGACCTGGGCATTATCAGACCGTCAAACAGTCCTTGGGCATCGCCATTGCACATGGTTCCCAAAAAGGATAGCAACGACTGGCGTCCAACCGGTGATTACCGAAGGCTCAACGCCAAAACAACTCCGGACTGCTACCCGATACATCAATACAAACCCTCGTACACTTTGCCTTTTTATATCAATTTTTATTTACCATGTAATGAAATTTTTAAAAAAACGGTGAAGATAAGCGTAAATTTTTATTTTTCGATATGTTTATATATAAATAATTCCCATTTTTACGCAACGTTTTCGTGGTATTAAAGACTTTTATTTATATTCCAGGTGCAACGAGCACTGGACGGAACGTCGAAAGGAACAGATGACCGCGACCGACGTACAATTTCATTTATTGTATTTTATTTATTTAATTGCCACGACACCCTAGAATAAGGTTCAGACAACCAGGGGCCACCTCACGCAGTGGGCCCATCGGAAGAGTTTTACCAGTGGAGAAACCACTGGGTTTTTACTTCCGGCTGGTATCGTCTTAGGGTCCTCACGAACCCACTAGGGGGGAGTGATCTGTAGCGTCATACACTTCCCCAAAATCAATAGCCTAGGGTTTGACGACTTTCGACATTGATGCTGACCTTGATAGTTTAACTGGACTCGCTAAGCTGAAGGCACCCGGTCAAGCATCCTCGCCATTTGGCACGCTGTCGTGTTACGTTGCATTGCTCGTATTCGACTCTCTAGCCAGTTAGTTGGAACGCATCGGTATTTTGGCACAACCATCCAAATATACTATTCCATCCGACTACGCTATCGTGTTCTTCCTTGGTCTCGTATTCGAATAATTAGTGATTGGTCTTCGCGTCTGTCAAGTTCGCACCAGGACAAATCCTAAAGATGACTGAAAATCAGTCTGAAGCCGAAGATATCACTACGAAACAGAGAGATTTT